GGAAATCTGAAACAATTTCTCAATCTGGGGTGTTTTTGGCACGTGGATCAAAATTTTGCCAAACGGCTGACGAAAGTATTAATTTTTGAATTTTTTAATACCTATTTCGCCACAAAAAGAACGAAATACGACTTCTTAGAGCGGTTAAATTAAAATCGCTCTCATAGGTCTATTTTAGAGAGCGGTTCAAATGGAACCGCTCTCATAACTCCTTTTAGAGAGCGGTTCCATTTGAACCGCTCTCTTAGGTATATACAGTAACTTGTATCTAAAGAATTTCGCCAACCGAATTGCGAAATGTAAGTATAGTTTCGCATATTTGATGGCAAAAATTTTCTTTTAATATATTTTTAAATTAATTTCGTTACCGGACTGGCGAAACAAATAACAGTTTCTTCATTTTGGTGGCGAAATTGCACACTCCAATTTCAAAGTTTGAACGCTATAAATATACCCCAACCCTTCTCTCATTTTCATCGGAAGGACACATTAGAAGAAAATCTCAGGTATTGTTATTTAATAATTTTATTATTTAATTTTGAATGTATAATTTTAGTTATATTTAATTAATGAGTATTGTTTATTTTATTTATGTTAATTATTGTAAAGTTTAAATATTAAATAAAGTTTATTTGAATAAAATGCAGGATGAGTGGGATTGTTATTATTATATATTGGAATGGTAGAATCTATGAAGGAAATGAAGGAGTAAGTTTTGAAGGAAGTAAAAAAGTAATTCAAATAAAACGAGGAATAAGTTATGAAACATTGAAAAGAAAAATTCATGTGAAACTCAATCTTAATCATAATCAAGTAATTTCTAGATTAATTTCTCGTTTTTTGATTGATGAAAATATTAGACAGTATACAGCTTTGGATATATGTGATGATGAAGATATTGATTGTATGATAAGTGCATTTCAACAACAATCTAGTAGAAATATTATTGAGTTATATGTAGATATTGCTGTTGGTGGAAGTTCATCAATGTCCTTACAGACGATGAATTTAAATTTATTACTTTCACAACAAAATGATAGGACCTTTGTGAGTCGTGATTATAATGAAGGTAAAATTATTTTTGTTCTAATGTCTTTTAAGTAATATATGTAATTGATTGAATTAAAACTGAAAAATTTGTTGCAATAAAGGAGTTAGGAATGATGCTGATGAAGATAATAAACACTCAAATTATGAGAGTTACACTGATGGAGATGATGAAGCAGAAATTTCGTTAGGCAGTTCTTCTTTTACTGATGTTGAAGGCGAGTTTAATTCCAACTTACATATACAAGTAACCGAAAATGTAGGAGATAATGTGAAATAATTATAAAGAATTTATTTTTTGTCGTTATTTATTTATATATTAATGATAAATATAATGCAGAAGATACTGTAATTTCTTTTTGGAATGTTACTCCAAAGTATAAGTATATTAATTGGGAATATCCTGATCAAGAAATGGATGAAGAACATCTTCAAGAAGTCAATTCATGGGTTGAAGGAGATCCTTTATTTGTTGGCTTATATTTTGACAGTAAAGAAGATGTGAAGAATGCATTAAAACATTACGCAATGAAGATTCATCAAAGTTATTTTGTGGCTGAGTCTAAACCAACATGTTTGTACGTTAAATGCTTAAATCATACATCTGGTTGTCCATGGAGAGTGAGGGCTTCATTGTTGAAGAATTCAAACAAGTGAAAAATTACTAGGTGGGGTGGTTCACATACATGTGTCAATATGAGAATTTCTCAAGATCATCAAAAGTTAGATTCTGATTTAATTTGTTCATGCATTCTTGGTAAGTAAAATATCAAGTTTTTTATTTTATTTTTACAATGACATTGTTATTAACTTGAGAAAATTTATTTTATGTAGGAATGGTCAACGAGGAACCGTCGGTACATATTTCATTGATACAAGAGCGAATATGTGCTCAGTTTGGATATAAAATTTCATATAAAAAAGCTTGGAAGGCGAAGCAAAAAGCCATTGTTAAAGTATTTGGTGATTGGGATGAATCATATGCTACCTTGCCTCGTTGGTTAGAATACATGCAATTAAATTCTCCTGGATCTGTTTATAAACTTGAAACAAAAGAGTACGTGGTTGGTCATCAAGTAAATAATAGGTATAGAGTGTTTGAACGACTATTCTGGTCATTCGAACAATGTCATGAGGCTTTTAAATTCTGCAAACCTATATTACAAGTGGATGGGACGTTCTTATATGGTAAGTATCGTCATACGTTGCTCATTGCAACAACTCAAGATGGAAACAATTATGTTCTTCTAGTAGCTTTTGCAATTGTTGAAGGAGAAACACTGTCAGCATGAGAATGGTTTTTAGCATTGATTCGTTTGCATGTTACCGATAGAGCAAGAATTTGTTTGATATCAGATAGACATCAAAGTATAAAAGGAGTTGTGTCAAATCCACACATTGGGTGGCAACCTCCAAATGCGTATCATGTATATTGCATTCGTCATATTGCCAGCAACTTTAATCACCGGTTTAAGAATATAGCATTGAAGAAAGAGCTCATCAAATTGGATATATTTAATTTTTTTATCTAGATTATGGTTAAATTATTAGATATCCATCGAATCCGTGGATAGATATTTTAATGTTTTGAATGTTGTATATGTAGGTTATACACCATCGAAGGTCATTTTTCAGCAAAAGTTAACTAGATTTCGCAATGAATCTGAAGATATAGAAAGGTGGATTGACAGTATATCAAAAGAGAAATGGGCATTATCTTATGATGATGAAGGACGGCGTTATGGACACATGACTACAAATCTTTCAGAATCAGTAAATAAAGTGTTTAAAGGTGCTAGAAACCTGCCCATATGTGCACTAGTTAAAGCCATCTATGGACGATTGATTGAATATTTTGTGAAGCGTGGAGAAGAGGCCATGTCTGACCTTCACAATGGAAGCATGTTTTGTAGTAAATTTTAAATTCTTTTTTACTAATCTTTAATAAACTTTCAGCAAATTCTTCACTCACCTCCACTTAATTACCAAATCACTTACATACGTAGAGTTTAAAAAAATTACAATATTATTATCAGATTTTCTAATTAACAAAATCAAACTAAAAATAATATATAAATGCATGTTGTTATAGTTCCATACCTCTTAAATTCTTAGCAGTATTTGATCCTTCACAGCAAATCAAAACAAAATTTGAAACTTTTGCCTGGAGGACGATGATAGAGGAGCAGAGACGGAGAAAAGCTAAATGGACGATGAAAGAGGAGCAGAGACGGAGAAAAGCTAAATGGAAACGAAGGAGGACCGTCACGGAGGAGGAAGAAGGGCGACGGTCAACAGCGGTTTCGCTAACTGCAGGGCGAAATGAACTTTCGCCAGTAGCAGTGCGAATCATTTCAGATGTTGCCACGTGTATCAAAATATCCCCAGCCGTCTATTTTAAATCTAAGAGAGCGGTTCCAGCAGTACTGCTCTCTAATATGCACTTCTGAGAGCGGTTCAAATGGAACCGCTCTCTAAAATGGAGTTATGAAAACGGTTCAAAAGGAACCGCTCTCTAAAATAGACTACTGAGAGCGGTTTTAATTTAACCGCTCTAAGAAGTCGTATTTCGTATTTTTTGTGGCGAAATAAATATTAAAAAATTCAAAAATTAATACTTTCGCCAGCCGTTTAGCAAAATTTTGTTCCACATGGCAAAAAAACTCCAGATTAAGAAATTGTTTCAGATTTCCTATAAAATAATAAATTGTTTTTTAATTTACAATATTTTGATAAATTTGCCAAAAAAAAAGAGTATCATTTATAATATCTATTACCTATATTTTATTTTGCTGTCTTTAATTTTGACAAAAACATGCACAGCATAAGTTACAAACAGATGAAGTTATATTGTTCTAAAAAGAATAATAATTTATAAATAAATTCTTTGTTTCGATCTCAATGAGCATATATGTCAGACGAAGATATTGAAGTTAAAAGAAGAGATAAAATTGAAGTGTGTCAATTTTACGATATCGTGTTTTATTTGTTAAGAATCCGTATATTTGAGAAAGGGAATTTGAATGAGTAAATCTTATAATGTATTTTAAACTAATGATAAGTAAAGATACGTTAACGAGAATGTGTTACAAAAATATATTTGTTGCATATTTTATGTCTTTTTGCTCGCATGGCAAGCTAAAAATTGATATGACTTTTATTAGCAAGCTTATTCTTTTCTTGCTAATAGCTTTGTTTGGATCGGCATTTGGTTACAAAACTAAGGCCTAGCCTCAAATAGACCAACAATAAAAGATGGGTTTTGGTACAATAAATATTTTAATATTTCCAGAAAAGTGGCATGAAATTTAAAGCTTTATATGTTTTGGTAGAAGAGAATAAAAACATTTCCTAAAAATAAACGATTCTTGTGATACTAATTTATAAATAAACAGGAATAAAGTGTTCTCACCTTCATAAGAATAAATTTTTTCCATGAGTGTAAAGATATCTGACTTTCACATGGTAATTGATAGCAAATATATTATTTAACATATTTAATAATAATCAAACATAATTTATAAATTTTCTCAAAAGTCTTATTCTGACAAATCTCATTTTCAAGAAAGCAATTTAATTAAAAATAGAAAATTACCCACACTTTGACAAGAAAAATTAGCCACTTGGCATGCATAACTCCAATATCTTGGAAAAGGATATAAGTGTCTGTTTTCGAAAAATAATCACTTATTTTTTTAACAAGTTAAACTGAACACGTATTTAAGTAACTTTTTAGAAATGGAAATTATAATAATGGATCGTTGATTCTTCTAAAAAAACGATACTGAAGAATGCTAAAGCATTGCTATTACTATGACAAAAGAGGTTTTTCATACCAAATTACCACTATGTTCGGTTATCTCAAAACGTAATGCCTCCTTGAAAATTACAAGCAGATATTACCCTCCAACAATATCCCAAAATATTTTTATTTTTTTTAAAAGAAAATCTGATCATGTTTTTTTCAACCTCGACCTAAGTCTTCCAGCAATGCTGTCTGAGAGAGATTTGGAGGAAGAAGCAAGCTGCTTCATGGTATTTGAACACACTTTTTTTTTAAGCTGAAGTGATTTTGGGGTATCTGAACAATCAACTTTTTCAAGATCTTGCTCACTGGAGAAAAACAATGATCTCTTTGCCGAAACCTCTTCACCATCACCTTTTTCAGCTAGAGGCTTCAATGATCCTGGATGGTTCTCAACCTCATGAGATTCGTTGTCCACATCAGAGAAAGGTAATGACCTTTTTGCTGAAACTGAGTTGGAAGCAACTGCATTTTTCTCCACATTTATATCTGAGCGCCGCGTTTGAATAAGGTAGTGTGCAACTGATCTGTAACCCAATCCTGATACCTAAAATAAGGAGAAATTTGAGCTTACCTTCTGCTCAATCTTTGGAGAAACAACTAAGGGATAAACCAAATTTTGGTAAAGAATTAGGAGTAACCTTTTTATATAGAGGGCCAGTAGGGGCCCATCCCTTTGCTTGACGGCATAAGCTACAGTTGCAGATTCCGCGGCAAACTGGACATATCCAAGTTGGATTCTGCAAGGCTTCAAGTACATGTTCCCCATATCTGCATTTCATATTGACTAATTAAAGATTCCAGACAAAATATTCAATGTTTGAGGGCTCTCACATAATCATGAAGACAGTTTTAGTTTGCACATGTGAAATTAGACTTTGATACTATCTCAAGTCAGTAACAGATATATCATAACTCTAGTTATATGTTTCAATTAAAACAACTTATCAATAATTTAACAAAGGAGTGTCACGGAGTAGCTTAATTAACAAGATGATCAACCATAAACGTTTGAAGATTTGAACTAGTCTGAAGATAATATGAATCGAGCAACCTTTATTTTATGAGTGAAATAAGGTGACTGTAATCTACAAGACCCTATTAAGCAAACTGATGATTCGCTATACTTAAATAAAACCAACATACGATAGTAATATGGAGAAAAATCAAAAGGCATATTTGCAAAGACAATACAATTACAAAACTGATTCACAGCTACATCCTATGAACATGTATTATTGGAATGAGACACTTTGTGTTCAATGTTAGGACCCCGAGTCTGTTGTCATACACGTAATTTGAAATAAAAAGGTTATTGCGGTATCTACAACTTGTTTTACTATTCAAGATATTAGAGGGTAACACTTAAGGGACTAGAGTACGAACAATTCAAAATTATCTTTTTTCGTTTATAAATATCCTACCAAATAATACAACGAGAAGAGACTACACGATCTCTTACCAGTACCGCAGATGTTAGAAGAAAGAAGCATGTTGTAGAAAGCGTACCTCATATACAGGCAATCGCCACAAAACTGCCCCTGGACCATGTTGCATTGGCTACAGCGTGTACGATAACCAAGAGTTTTCTGCCTAAAAATAAGTATTTCATCCAGCGTGCAAGTTCATTAAGAAAAAGAAACTGAACAAAATCAGATGGAGGGATAGACCACCAAATTAAATTCATCATCATACATATGAAGTGATGGTAAAAATGGTTATTTGTATTGCAAAGATCATATGAAAAGAGAAAAGTGAAAGCTTATCAAACTCAAAATTTTCACTTACTGCCAACCCCAACTACAAACACTCACACCAAGTAACTGAATACAGTAAAAAACAATGGGGTATATTGAAGATCATGGCAGATAGTACGCCCTAAACAAGCACTGATTAGCATTTTAAAAAATGGTTTAGGTTTTAAAATACTAAGTTCTGAGTGGGTAGAGAGAGAACCTGCACTGATGGCAAGTTTTTCCTTGGACAGAATCGTAAATCCGTTTTCCATCTTTCCCACAACCATCGACGAACAGCGTCCAAGTTTTCTGGGTGTTTCCCAACAGCTTCTCGTGTTCATCAGTGTAGAGCTCAGGCTTGGAACCTTCTTCTATCACGATCCTTCCATTCTCCAAAACCTCGGTTTTTTTGGGGGGAAGAACTTCGGAGTAACTAACAGGGGTGACATTCTGCAATCTGAAAAGAAAGATTATATTTTTAGGGCGAAATTAAATAGATAATACGTTGCATTGCAATTGCATAAAAGGAAGAATAGAATAGAGAACCTGGAAGAGCGGCGAAGGGGAGCGGGGGCAGATGGGTAAAGAGAAGGAGGGGTTTTCGGTTTGTGGGTTGATCTGGAAGTTGAAGGTGGGTGTGATTTGAGCTTGAGGGAGAGGGAAAGGTCGAAAATGCCCAACTTTCCCATTCTCTCACGGTTTTGGCGTATTCTTTGCTCTCTGGATAGCTCATACTCAGACACCTTGTGGTGTTGATCATCGTGACTCACCGCCTGAGGCGTGCCAGCGGAGTCCGGTGTTCGGGTTCGCTTTCTGAGAGCGGGCATTGCTGTTTGAATTTGAAGTTGGAAGCTTCAACGGTCGATTTCTGGGGTTTGGAAATTGGAATTGGAGTGAGTTTAGGAGAGGGAAGGGAGTCTCTAAAAAGGGTATCACTGCCCTCGTACGCCTCAATTTATTGTTTTTACTTCTTTACACAGCCGTCTTTCATTCTTAAATATATATTGTACCCCCCATCATCTTATTCTATTCTAATTCGAAATGGGACAACAAAACTTCCTCACATTTCATTTCAATATATTTAAAAGATATGTACATGAAACTTCAAAATTAATTGAAATATTTTTTAGAAGTACTTATAAAAAAATTATATAAAAAATAATAAAATTTGTCATAAATTAAAAGTAATTTCTCTTTAAATTTTAGATAAACTAAATGAGATATCTTATTATAACTTTTCAAAAAATAAAAAGTATAAGTTGTTTCTTTAAAAAAAAGAGAGAGAGAGAAAGAAAGAATATTATAAAAATAATTTATTTTTTCTTTAACTTTTTTTGAAATTTTTAAGTTTTAATATTTTTTCTTCTTTCTTTATTCTTATGTGTCTTTTTTTTTATTGAAAGATTATGTATCGACTACTGCTAAAATTCACCACTTCTCTGATTATTAAATTAGAAAACTATGGCATTAAATTACACGATGAAGGGGAGTTATACAGGGCATTGCATGTAGTTTCTCGAAGGGGATTTGCTTTTAGTTAAGGTCACCAAACAACACCTAATTAGTCCCCAGAGCTTTCTTCGCCAACGGTCTCAGCCTCTAGAGTACGTCATCATGTATAACCCTGTGACTTTGAATTGCAGGACTAGCTTATATATTGTTAGAAACAAAATCTGAGTCTGCACTTGTACATATGTTGATGACCTACCCACATGGAAAATTATGTTTAAATTGCCCACATCTTTGCATTATTTTTTAAATGTTAAAAGGGGTCAAAACCTATTGAATTTACTTACAAGTTTTCTCTTGTCCACAAAGAAAGCTCCTTATAAGCTTCACATCTGGCTTTGCTTCTTCTACTAAGGGTGCTTTACTGCTTTTTTTACGTGAAAAGAACTCGTGGAGCATGAAAGCCTTCATGGCATTGAAGCATTATAACACATTTGTGTTTTTGCTGTTGCTTGTTAATCTTAGCTTTGCTGCTCAGAATGACAGGTTAGGAGCTTCTTTCATCTTTGGGGACTCGTTGGTGGATGCAGGAAACAACAACTATCTTTCAACTCTTTCCAAAGCCAACGTGCCACCCAATGGAATTGATTTCAAGGCCTCAGGAGGAAACCCCACTGGGCGTTTCACCAATGGAAGAACCATTGGTGATATTGTTGGTAAGTGGTGACTTTTCTGTGAGATATATAACAATATTTTTTCTTATATTTTTTTCGTTTGCTTTCACTTTTTTCAATTGTTTTTGGGTTCTTAACCTTTTCAGGAGAGGAATTAGGACAACCAAATTATGCTGTCCCATATTTGGCACCAAACGCAAGTGGGAAGGCCATACTCAATGGAGTCAATTATGCTTCAGGAGGAGGAGGGGTTCTGAATGCAACAGGAAGCATATTTGTCAGTTGTTTTAATTCTGCAGCATTCATTTCTTGATTGATTTTATATCATGGTGTGTACTAAGCAATATAATTGTTCCATGTTACGTGCTTTGATTTATTTTTCAGAGGAATAGGATCGGAATGGATATTCAAGTAGATTACTTCAACATCACAAGAAAACAAATTGACAAGTTGCTAGGTGAATCGGAGGCTAGAGGCTACATAATGAACAAATCCATGTTCTCCATCATCGTTGGGGCTAATGATTTCCTCAATAATTATCTTCTTCCTTTTGTTTCCACTGGAGTGAGAGCTTCTCAAAACCCTGACGCTTTCATCGATGACATGATCAATCACTTCAGGGCCCAACTTAACGTATATACCTTGATCCAAATTTAACTAATTGAACTCCCAAGATAAAATGTAGTGAATATTTTCTCTCATTGGAAAACCCCAATTATTAAGTTGAAAATGATGTGTACATAGTATCAAAGTTAATATGATTTATAATTTGTCAAATATAACGCATAAACTAACTTTGTAGACGAAATTAATCGTTTTGCTTCTGACATTTTAAATTGGGTACGTTTGTATGTTTGAATTGACAGAGACTTTACCAACTAGATGCTCGAAAGTTTGTCATCAGCAACGTTGGCCCAATAGGCTGCATACCTTACCAGAGGATTATAAATCAACTGAATGACGATGATTGTGTGGATTTGGCTGACAAGCTTGCAACCCAATACAATGCCCGGTTGAAGGATTTGCTTGATGAGCTAAATGAGAACCTCCATGGTGCCACGTTCGTTCTCGCGAATGTGTATGATTTAGTGTCGGAACTGATTAGAAATCATGATAAATATGGTATAATAATAACTCAGTCTTAAAAGTATTCAAGTCATAATTTTTCTTTTATGGATCCATGCCCTCCAATATTTCATATATTATTATATTTTACATTTGGGTACCACAATTAAATATATATCTTTGTACTTGAGACTTTCACCAACTTAACTAGTATATCAATCCGGAATATCCATTATAAATTTATAACAACTGTTAATTTAATATATGTGTTGTTTTGCAGGATTCACAACAGCGAGTAGAGCTTGCTGTGGAATCGGAATTGGAGGCCAATTTGCAGGGATAATTCCTTGTGTACCTACATCAAGCTTGTGCTCAGACAGGTATAAGCACGTGTTCTGGGATCAATATCACCCAAGTGAAGCTGCCAATCTAATACTTGCCAAGCAGCTTCTTGATGGAGACAAGAGATACATATCTCCAATCAATCTTAGGCAACTCAGGGATCTTTGATCATAGATTATAGTTTCCACGTCTTAATTTGTCCACGCAAATTCCCTTTTACACAATTCTCTATCAATTTGTATTACTGTAGTTGTCAATTTTACAAGCTTAATTTATTTCCCTGTTTTAACTTTTAAGTGACGTTATGTATTGTTTCAAGATTTTATTACATTGCTGGTTCAAGTTCAACACTTGATCTTTGACCCCTTGCGTTGCTAAGCGGGGAGGATTTCATTTTCTTGTGGGTTGATGGAGACGATTTAGTGACAGTGATAGAGATAACAAACACATGCAAGGTGGCATTTTGTTCAACAACTCTGCGCCTTGGTCGTTTAAGAAGTTTAACCCCTGCAAATCATCTTTTTTTTTAAAATTCAATTGAAATATTATAAAGATTTTTATATTCTCATTGAATTATAAATTTTTTTATTACTAATAATCGTTGACTTTTGTAAGTTGTATGCGTGATAATTTTTAATTCTTTGATTGTGTAATAATTTGCGTTTAAATTTGGTTTTATTTTTTCTCGTTGAACAAACTTCCTTTTGCAGCTAATACAAATGTTGTATGGTTGATTCACCCAACGTTTTAAAAATATTTATTTAACTGAATTTAGAAAGATTACTTATTTTACTAACCTGGCATTTCCACTACTTAAGTTTAAATATACGTTGTTTATATAAATTTTTTTATTGTATATTAATATAATATATTTATTTATATAAATTTAATATTATTTTTTTGTTAACGGTTATGTATATCTGATTTTTTTCCAAAAAAGAAAACTTAGATTTTAATATATTTAAAAATTTTCATGCACTATAAATTTTTAGTAAATTATCAATCGAATCCAAAGTTTTATTTTTTATAAGTACATATTCAGATTTGCATTATATTTAGTTGATTATAACATGACTTTTATATTTTTTGTTTAATTATTTCTTATTAAAATTAATTTTATCCTAAAATTTACGTTTGAACTAAAGTAATGAATTATATTTTTATATTAAATTAAAAAATTGTTAAATTTAATCATAAACTTACTTGAAAGAAGAATTATGAACATAAATTATATCGCTTTAAAAACTCTGTATTCTACAAAATTTAATTTATGTAAAATTAAATTAACAAATTTATATTAAATAGACAAAAAAAAAGCCAATCCACCTAAAAAACATTCTAGAGATGTGAAAAAGCAGTTTCCATCTATTTGTAAAATTTGGTTTACACGGGCCTTGGAGGGTGTTGTAAAGAAGGTGGGCTTAAATGGGCCGTGGTTGCACTGAAAACCAATACGCACATACCCTTTGAACTTGGCCGCGCATGGGTTGGGGACGCGGGATTTGAGAATTGAGAAAGATTATCATTTCTCATCCTTAATTCAAAACCTTCAATATGAAATTGAAACTTCGATAACAAAAATTCATTAAGATTCCCCCCAATTCCCAGAGCAACTAGGCGCGTGCGTGTGCTTGTGCTGTAGCCTGAACCTCCCTGAAACTAGGGTTTAACAAGTAGTTTTCTTCAATCTGTTAGCACTCACCACAATGTCATTTTCGTTGTTCTCCACGCCCCAGCAACAACAACCGCAACCGCAGCAGTCTCCTTTCCAGCCACAGCAGAGTAGTTTGTTCCTTCCACCGCAGCAGCAGCAACAACAGCAGCAGTTTCAACAACAACAACAACAACAACAACAACAGTTGCAGCAGCAGCAGCAGCAGCAGCAGCAGCAGCAACAACAACAACAACAACAACAATTGTTTTTGTTCACTAACGATAGAACTCCAGCTAGTTATAGTACCAATTGGACGGATCTACATCCTGATTCCCAGAAGATTCTCCTTCAGATCGAGTATGCTCAATTTCCCCTTATTTTCAATGTTTCTGCAAAACATAGAGAGAGACAGACAGACAGAATGGCTAGAGGAAGTGTTTGCGTGTGTTTCGTGGTTATTATGTGGCTCTGGTTTCAATTTTTGGTTGTTTGACTGCTATTTGTTACTTAGGGAGCGGATATTGGAGTATAGGGATGAAAGCCAGAGACTAGATCAATGTAGTCGTTTGTATGATTCTTCGGTTTCGAATGATGGATTTGAGCTTGATGCAAGCCACATTGTTCAGGTGTTATCTTTGTGCTCTTTCCCATTGTTGACTTCTCGTTGTTGGTAATTATTTATCTATTCCATTTTTGTTATAAATCAGTGACACCATTTTTTTCGTTTTAACTTCCATATTTTCGTTCGGAAGTAGAGCTTCTGGTGAAATTGCAGCTCACCCTTACCAAAAAAAAAAAAAAACTAACAATTAATGTTTCTAGTTCTAGTTGAGGCATATTTGATTTCATGTGTCTGATTTTGTAATTATATACTAAAGATGTTGGTGCTGACAATTAATGGAGTCTCTGTTATAACTACTGCTTTGCATGCGGTAGAGCCTGGGTTTTATTATAGCTATCCAGTTGCTAGTCGTAAACCAAAACCTGCTATTGCTACTAGCCATTTCTATTATAATTATTATTATTCTGTCAAGCAAATATTTGCATCCTTTGCTGACTTGTATACGAAGTTTAAATTTCGATTTTTATTGTTTACAACGTAAAGTGGGAAAGAAGTTTATTTGTTGATAGTTACAACATAAAGTGAGAAGGAAGATGTAGCAAAATTAGTTGATAGTTGACACTTGCATAATTTGCTCTGTTACTATATGAAGGAAGCATCTCAAATTTGATTAGTTCATTTAGGTGAGGCATGTGGCCCTCAAAAACACAAGGTTGTGAGCTTTCTGTGTATTTTGTTTGTCATTTGAAGATCCGGTATGTACTATTAGCCTTGGTAAATGGCTGTTTAAGACTGAGGCACTGAGCAGATAATCCAACTCTTGTAGTATTTTTTTGGAAACCAACTAGCCTATTTTTGAGTGATGTTAAAGTATGCAGGCTTTTTTTATGATGTGGTAAGGTTACTTTTAGATCCGATTTTCTATTCCGTGTCCTATTTGCTTTCATGCATTGTTAATCAGCTTTTCTTTTTAATAAACTATCATCAATGTTGACATGGTTGACTGCTCGCTTCTCTTGGAACATTATGCTTATTGCTTAATGTGATCTATTCATGAAACAATCTATTTTCTTCTGATTGACAGGAACTTGGTGGAATTAGCACTGCTATGGAACGACAGAAAACTTTGCTGCAGGACCTGATGTTTGTTGTTAAGGATATGTTACGCAACACAGAGGTTGCTGTTCGCTCCTTCATGATGCTACGCCCTAGATTCCTTCATCCCAGCGGGGGTACATCAAGTGCCACTGCCCCATCACAGACTCCTGGAGCATCTCTAGCACCTAGTTCAAGTAGCCAACCAACAACTGCATCTATAGTGCCTGTTTTTGATTTCTACAGTGGTCTTCCAAAGAAACCATCCCCCTTTTTACAACAAACAATTTTAAGATTTGAAAAGTATCTTGGGGAATGCCATCAGTGGATTGAAGAGCTGGAGCAGGTGCTTCTCTTAGAGTCTGAGAGAAATGCATCCAGTAATGGATCCTCATTATTGCAATCTCTTCCCAAGGTCATGACAAATGTGCATGACTTTTTTGTTCACGTGGCAGCAAAGGTAGAATGGAAAATATAGTAATTTTAGCTCATAACATACAGCTATGACTATGTGTACTTCTTAAAACTTATCTATTCATGGTTTCAGCATATGACCTGGAAATTATATGATTGGAGAACTCTTAATACTTTTTATCAATTATCTCTTTCCTTTGTCTTTATCATATTCTTAGTTACTTATATATGTATTTATGTGTGTCATAATATTTATCAATCTCATTTACAATAATAACAGATTTTTAAATAACGGTTGTTCAGGTGGAGAGCATTCATCAATACATTGAGTCAATGAAATCAGCATACCTAGCTGATCAGCGCCGCCGAGGGGAGGTGAATGATCCATTTCTGGAGGCAGATCGGCGGGAAACCGCAAGACAAGAAGCTGCTTCAAAACGAGTTCATCCAACTTTGCATTTACCAGCAAATTCACAACCCTCAACCCAAGTAGCTGGGTTGTTTTCCAGTTCAGGAACTCAAGCAGCATTGACTGCCCAACAGACATCTGCTGCAACTTCATCTTCGACAGCAGGAAGTGGTTTCTCTCTTTTTGGCACACCATCTTCTGCTCCATCTCTGTCATCATCTTTGTTTACAACACCATCAACTCCTGCTCCAGGATACTCTTGGTTTGCATCATCTAGTGCTACACCTCAAACCTCACTTTTTGGTCCAACATCATTATCTGTACCTGGTCCTGCATCAACTCCCTCACTGTTTAGTAATACTGCTTCATTGTTTAGTACAACTCCGGCTTCAGGTTCACTCTTTTCAACGCCATTTGGTTCAGGTAATTTCTTGGGTTTTAGTTCATTATAGTCATCTTACTCTCAAGTGTTAACAAACTATGTAGTCATCTTACTTTCTTTTTTGGAAATCACAATCTCAAATTGATTTGGGTCATTTGGATGGGTGGAGGACAACCGAATTTTCCCAGTTTGATGAGCTGGTCTGGTCTATTTTTTTTAATCTAGTTGAAATTATTGAATATAATATTATTGAACTTGATTGCAAGAGACAAAAAGATAGAACGGTATCCCTCAGTACCATTAGACGTCTAGACCTTGTCTTTGTCAATTTCAATTCGTTTCCTACCATGTTGTTGGAGAAAAGAAAAAAAGAAGGGGATGAGAGTTTTATTCGTGTTTCTTAATTCTATCTTCACATGAAATTAACCATATGTAATTTTTTCTTACTCAGGCGCTGCAACAGGATCTGGGGCAAGCTTTGGACCTGGATCGGTAAATAAACTTTATCCTTTCTGGCTCGTCTGTAGACTATTTCTGCTATTAATTAGTTAAATGAAAATAACTCTAGTATATTGTGTCTTGTCAGCCTTGATAGAAGTAAGCATCATGATCTGTTAATTTTGTGATTTTATTTATGGCTTTTGTGATTGCTTTTTCTGAGCCTTATTTTCTATGATGTTCTTGCAGAAAAATCCACGGGCAAAATCCAGGACTACTCGACGTTAATAGACGTGATCAGAAAGCATAAAGTTGATTGGAACATTTTCTGCTGTCAAACAAATATGCAATGTTCCACTTGAAATATTGGTTTTTCCTTATTAAATGGTGTTAAATGGTTTTTGGTGTGAACTTGGTGAGTCTTGGACCGTAGATGCTGCATTGAGGGCACTGGTACATATCAACATTTAATTTCTGCCTTGTTTCAATCCGTTGAGCTCTTCCATTAGGCAGTTTCCGTGAGTTAACATTGTAGATTAATATAGATAGATGATTTTGAATGCTAAACTTTGATTAATTGCAACTTGCTTTTTTCCTGGTTCCAGTTTGAGGTGGATACATCGGTCACTGTTGTAAAAGATGCCAACTGCTAGCATGGTACATTTTACTGATATATTTCAAACACGGAGTAATTGGCTTTTAATTGTTCTTTAGATAAAGCGAGTTTTCTATATGGATTTCAAGATTTTTACTGAAATCTCCATCTGCTCCATTGTGCTAAGTATTTTAACTCAATTATGCCTTAACCGTAATAAAAACATGTTTTTCACAAGTATTACTTTGGGAGTGGTTTCCAGAATTTTTAGGTAACAGGTTTGTTGTACTTAGAGTAGGTGGCTGCTCGAACGTCTTAAGTTGGATTCTGTACGATTTGGAACATTTTTTTTGTCAATATGAAAAATTTGCTGAGATGTGACCAATTGGGCTGCGGTTGTACGGGGAACGGGAGTTGAATATGGTGCCAGTGTTTGGAAGTTTATTTATTTATTATTTTGGTCGAAGGATGTTAAGGAATAATTATTGTTCTTTTTTTTTCTATTGTTATTGTTTATGTTTACACATTTCGGTTTTGGAATGTATTTCCAATTTCGTGAATAGATTTTCTGTAGGTTCAAATGTACAAAAGAATATGTATTTTTTTTCTAAAAAAAAAAAGAGAGTACACTATCGAAATGCAAAGAGCAGTAGGTATAACTTTTGATTAAAAAAAAATATTAATCTCATTTAGGGTAATTGTTGCCGTTTTTTTTCGGTTGAAAGTGCATCTGATTAATGTATTTGAAAATATGTTTAAAAATCTATAAATATAGATGTAACGTAGAAATACATCCTAATGTAAAAGTAAACATACTTGGTCATAGTGGGCTGACAAATCACTCTGTTTTACGGGCACGAGTCATTGTAAATTTGATTCTAAATGATATTAATTAGACAAGAGTTTGATAAAAATTAAATTTAAAGTGAAATGAATGTGACGTACATTTAAAAATTGTTATTTTAAATGTAAATTAGTAATAAAATTTAGCGGAACTTTTTAAACTTATGGCAAATTTTTTTTCTTTTTACCTAAAATGCTCTTAACATCAGACTGATTCAGGCATTATTTTAATTTAATTTGTCGAAACTTTTTCCTTCACAAAATTCTATTTTTATTCCCTAAACGCAGAAAGACTTCATACATGAATCCTACATTGAATCATTCTGTGTAGCATGCATTTTGTGTCTCGTGCTGTTCTAATCATATTTCTTTTTAGCCTATGCAATTCAGTCTGCACCTCATCAGCCTTCGGATGTGATTGGTCTCCAGAATAAAACACATGAATGTCGTTCTTGGCCTCAATCCAGCTTAACCCTGGATCTTTCTCCAGCATCAATCCCCTCATATTTCTTCTTATTTCAGCAACTTTATCCCATCTCCTTGCAGTAGCATAAAGATTAGAAACCAAAACAAGCGTTGGACCATCTTCTGCCCTCAATCTCAAAACTTCCTCTGCTGCGTGAATTCCCACTTTCAAATTTTTATTTATAACACAGGCACTTAACAAAGTTCTCCACAGTTCTAATTTATCTTCGATATAAGGTGATTTATTGATAATATCTTCCGCCTCTTCCAGTAATGCTGCCCGACTCAGCAAAGTTACCATGCAAGAGTAGTGTTTGAGCCCAGGAATCAAACCAATGCTGTTCATATAACTCCAGAGAAATTTTCCTTGCTCAACCAACCTACTGTGGCTGCAAGCAGACAACAGAGACAAGAATGTCACATGATCTGGAACCAGTTCTTGTTCAAGAATCTCTTCAAAAAGTTTCAATGCTTCCCCCACCATTCCATGGTGACTATATCCTCCAAGCATCGAGTTGCAACATTTCAAGTCTGGGTCCGATACTCGAGAAAATACCAAATATGCAGCTTCAACGCTACCATTTTTGGCATACATATCAATTAGACTGGCAGAAACAGACATTTCAACCTCGTAACCCAATTTAACAGCGTAACAATGAATTATTTCTCCTTGTCTTAAAATTGTCAGGTCAGCACATGCACTCAGAATTCCACTGAGAACATAGTCATCCACTTCATGGGCTTCATGAACCATTTCACAAAAGCATCTAATTGCACTAATTCCATGAGGCGTTTTAGAATAACCTACAATCATTTCAGTCCAGAGAACAACATCCTTCACTGAGATTGAATAAAATACTCTCTGAGCAGCTTCACTTTCATGATTTTTGAAATACATAGATACTAGAGTACTTCCTACAAACACACTATTCCCAAAACCTGCTTTAATAATTTGTGCATGAAGAGGTTTTCCATAACTAGAAGATGGAAATGCACCAGTTGCAGATATAATGCCGGCATAAGTATAGTCATCTGGTTTAGGAAAATTCAATTTCTGCAACTTTACAAACAAATTCATTGCCTTTTCTCCTTCCTCATTCTCAGAATATCCAGCAATCATTGAATTCCAAGAAACCAAATCCAGGCTTTCCATTCTACTAAAAATCCTATATGCAGTTTGAGTATTGCCAACATTGCAGTACATGTCAACCAGCGCATTTTGCAGATGTAAATCGAGGGGCACATTGCTAACAATCACATGGGCATGAATCAATCTGCCAGAATGATAATCGTTCAGACGACTACACGCATTCAAAATCATAGAATAAGTGATTTGGGTTGGGACAAAGCCAACCTTCACCAATCTAACAAAAAGCCTAACTCCCTCCTTGATCTTACCATTCTTCAGGTATCCCACAATCAAAGAATTCCAAGCAACATCATCTCTATCATCCATATCCCAAAAAACCAACTCGGCAGCACCCAAATCCCTGCAATTGGAGTACATATTAAGTAAAGAAGTTTGGACAAAAATATCATTCAAAAAACCCAACTTGAAGCCCTTCGCATGAATTGATGATCCAAACCACCAATGTTGAAGCAAGGAAGATGCTTGCAGCAAGCTAGTAAAAGTCATGCCAGAGGGTCTAAGACCCTTAGTTTCCATCTGGGTATACAGTTTTAGGGCGGAAATAGCATGCTCTGATGATACTCGAGAATAGGCTGAAAGGAGTGCATTGTAAGAAACAAGAGTTCTATCTGGCATTTTGTCGAACACGAGGTGAGAGTCTCTGAGAGAACCACACCGTGCATACATTGAGAGAATGTTGTTGAACACAAACGGAGATTGGGAGTTGAAGGCGGTGGTAGTAGTTAATATGAGGGCGTGGAGTCGACGCGCCTCTCGCAGTGATGTCACTGCGCTGCATTTTTGCAGCAGAGATGGAGCTTGAGGCTCCGTTACACAACAACATACTTTGTTCATGTATGTTGTGCCAATGCTGCATAGGTAAATCTCAAACACTGTCCCCAACAAAAAAAGCGGTGATGAATTCAATGTTGCTTTGATTCTTTCCAAATATGAACTAAAATGAAATTGAATAAATATTAAGCAGTGGCCAAGCTTTAATTTCGTTAAATGAAACTTATTTTAATTATAATTCACTTTAAGATGAAATGCAGTCTTCACTGGGTGCCTTGCATTAACATCACTGCGCACCGCATTAAAACAAGCATTCATTTAGATAGATAAAGAGTCTCTATCATTCCAACTTTTCTAATAATAATATTTAAATAATAAATTTTAACTTAATCGTGTAATATTACTCTCAAGTCAGCGAATAAAAATTAAAATATTTAATAACATAAAGGTTCCGAATTATGTCTGCTGAAGAATGCTAAAAATATCATCACGTTATTCTAACCGACAATTCCGCACAACATATTGGGAAAAAAATGTTAACCTCTCACATAATATTGCATTAATCATATTATTTTCAAAAATTAAAAATTATCACATAATTGTTTGGGAGACAAAAGGATAATTCACGAATACATATACCATACATATCATTCATGATAATTTTCATCTTTAAAAATTCAACATGAATAAACGATATATTTTTAAGGATTAAATTTACGGTGGAAGACTCAAAGTGAATCCCCGAATAACATTTACTTAAGCGTGCTTATCAGCGATTTCAAGGAGAGATAAACACAGTTCATGGGGTTTGGAAAGGATAGCCATATGATCTGCTTCCTTGATCTCTCGCACCACATCAATCTCTGCATTTTGGATCATCCATTGCTGATACTCTTTTGGAATTGCCAAGTCCTCATTGAAAACAATATAAGCACATGGGATCGACCCATAACCCTCTTTAGAAAATTTCTTCGCCTTAGACAGCTCTTCAGGAAAAAGTGACCCTCGTCTTACTAAAGTCTTCGCCAATTCCAGATCCTGCAAAATCCAATCCAAACACATTCCCAGTGAGCTCCAACCATTTGGGTTTATGTGTTTGACACAAATTTAGATCCTTTTATATTGATCTTATTAAAAGAAAAAAGACATGTTTTTTTATTAAATTTATTCAATAAATCTTACAATCAATTGTGGTAAATTTTTATTTGATAAAAAATATTAAACACGATCATATTTATATTATTTAATAACAATTTGTTTGACACCGGAGGAAAGAAGCCACGAGTACCTCATTGGAGCAGAGTTGGTAGAACTTGTTGGACAAGAAATTGATGCCAAGAAGCAATGTGGTTTTGCTTCCACAATATGAGATCTCAGAGTCTAACCATCCGGTAATTGCGTATCTTCCAATGTACTGTCAATATCAAGAGATCACGTAGACTAATAACGAACATTAGGATCAACGAAATGTATTATTGATGTTGATTGAAAAAAAAAAGTTTTATCAGATGGAATTTACATGTCTAATTAATTTGATATCCCATTATAAATTTGAGCAACCGTCTTATTTCTGAATCTAGAAAAAATAAATGATAATAATTCTAAGAATAATCAAGTAGATTAAATTTGGGATGTAGGAAGCAAGGGAGATTTAAGCATATTCGATCTTTTTATAAAACCATACCTCTTCTAAGACATATGATGGTGTGTGTTGGGTATCAGGAGCAAAAGCGGCTAGGAATATTCCAAGTGCTGTTTTTTCTGGAAATTTGTCCATTGCAAGGGCTATAGTCATCCCCCCAAAGCTGTGTCCCACAAGGACAACCTTTTCATTTGGAGCAAGGGAAGCTAAGAACTCCAAAAGGGGCTTAGAATAATCAGAAAACGTGTGGATGTCTTCAATACTGTGTGTGTTGATGCCAGAAGCTGCAAGGTCAAGGGCCGTGACTTTGTGGCCTGAGGACTCCAACAGTGGCTTAAGCTTGTACCAATACCAGGCACCATGGCCAAGACCATGCACCAAGACAAAATGTTTTTCATCTCTCTGTTTTTCAGCCATCATGCCTTTGTTTGTCACATGCTCAGTCTTTTATATATATATATTATCAGAACCCTTACTTTGCTGTAGTTTATAAGACCAGCTAACTTTTCCCTGTGGATAAATTGTACTGAATAATTTGTTTACGTCATCTTTACATCTAATAATTAAAATAATTTAATTTTAAAATTCTTTTAATTTATAAAGAAAACTTAATGTCGTTATTTTTATTATTAAGTAATAACATTTTATTGAAAAAAAAAAAATAAAGTATGAAAAGGACTGCAATCCGTTACATGTCAAAAAATTATTATAATTTAAAATAATAATACATGTCAAGAGATTTATGATCTAATTTATTATGTCATTTTATTTAATAAATTTAATTTTTTTTTAAATTATTATTTTATCTCTTAAATTTATCTTAATTTTATTATATGAAGTGATGATAATGTAACTTAGTTAAATAGTTCAAATTATAAAAAAAATTGTTAAAATAAGTAAAAAAAATTGGTAAAAATTTTGAATTTGTATTTTAAAATTAGTTTTGAATTTTTAATTTAAATTTTGAAGTTTAAAATTATATTTTAAAATTTATCTTTTTATTAAACTCAAACAATAAATCTATCTCCCTTTTATACTTAAATTTTAATCTTTCATCCAAAAATTCCTTCATCTATCACATTTTTATATGTGTCTCCTTTATTTTATGCATCATCTTTATAAGATTTTGAAAATAATGTTTTTCATCATAAAGGAGTGTTTTTTTATAGTAGATTAGCCATGAAATTTTTCTTTCCTTTATATTTAGAATTGTAAATGTTGTTTGTTTAGTTTATTTTTATGTTAAATGTTATAACTATGCATAACTCAACACTGATTTATTATGAAATTACGGTAAATATTTGTGATGTAACTCTTTTGAATCTCAATTTATTTTTATACTATTAATACTAAATATTTATTATAATTACTTATTTATTGTTATAATTATTCTTAAATTGGTTACTCAAAAATAAATTATAATTAATCAATTAATAATAGATCATATTATTAATAGATAAACAGAATTAAGAGATAATTTATGAATAGAAGTTAAAATAATCAATCTATTACTCATATTTTTAATCATTTAATTGAATTTGACAAATTTAATAAACTTTAATATTTATTATTGTCTATAATTATTAAAATAATACTTAAATAAAAAAATTATTATTATATAATTATTGAGTGACAGTAATAATTGATTAGATAATTGATAATTATACTTGCACCATAATTTACAATTAAATTAAAATATATTTAAATGTTCATAAGAAAAAATTAAAGCTCTAAACTTAATTATATATATTCTATTACATGATTTCTTCATCTTTTATTCTCTTATCAATTTGCTTTAATTTTTATTATTTTTAAGTCAACAAATCTTATCAGTTACATTATTTGACATTAAAAAATATTGTATTTTATTACAAACAATGAATATACTTGTTTATTAATTAAAAAATGTTTAAAGAGTTTAAAAATTTACAACCAAAATGCAATACAAAATTTTAAACATATTTTTAGTTATTAACAAAAAAAATTAAAAAATTAAAAAAAATATTAGTAAACTCCTAATTTAATTATTTACACTTATATTTCTATAAATTTTAATAAAATATAATTAATAATTAAGAGTACATTAAAAAATATTACTGACTTAAATATATATTAGTGTTTGAGATTAAATATTAAACGACTACGCTCAACCTTAATGGTAAGAAATAAAAAAATTTAGTTGGACATATCCAATGACAATTTTGATTGATAGTTTAATAGTTAAACATAGTCTAAAATATTATTTTAAAAAAATATTAAGTTATAAGAAAAAATAAAATTTTAAAAATTTTAAATAAAAAAATTAATTTACATTAAAAATTTAAAAATATACTGACACAAAAAATTAAAGGACTAAATTAAATAAAATTTGCATGAAAATTTAAAATAATTTAAACAATGAAAAATGTACTTTTTGTTGAAAAAATTTGTGAATCATGAAAAATAATATACGTGCATGTCATTCCTCAGTTATTAGAATCTTAATAATGTTGTCAATTGTAGGTGTAAAATTAAAATGAAAAATAGTCAACATTCATTTTATTTTATTATTAAAAAATTTAACGACAGAGATTGTGATCTGGCCCAAAAGGAATGCCCCAACCACATGAAAGTGCCACACGTGCCGGCATGCCGCTGCCCAACACGATAACAAAACTAACGTGTCAACCTGGATGTATATTAAAATATTATAAAATTATGTTCATTTTTTTAATCATAAATATTTTCTATCAAGAATAATCTTCTGCAAACTGTATAAATTTCATAGCAAAAAGGTTCTCTTTCTAAATATTTTTAAAAAATATATTAAAATTCACAAGTAAATTACTATCTATTAGAATATACTAAAATTGTTGATTTAAAAAAAAAATTCTTTCATTATATGCCATAATAAGGATTAAATTAAAAATATTTAAGTTTAATAAATATGATATAATTAACATTTATATTATAAATAAGAATTTATTATTTAGGAAGTAAAATATTAGTAAATTTAATATTTTTTTATACTTTATCATGTATATATTTTAAAATTAAAATTAACTTACAAACATGTGTGTGCGTGTGTATTTGTTACACTTCAAGTAGTGTATTATTGAAATTTAATAAAAATGATAAATTTAAAACTAGGTGGAAGATAAAATTAAAACGTTACTATTGTTAAATAATAATAAAGCAGGTATCCCAAAAAGAAAGTATCATGGAATGTTTCTTTATTAATTGTTGATATAAAGAAAAAGGTTTGTTATATTAAAAGTTATATACTATATGTATAGTATATAAGTTGCAGAAGTGGATATATGGTATGTTCATTACATAAGGTGTGAATATGTAAAGCCACTTTTGTTAGACTTTGTATAGTTAATATTGTTGGTTTTGTTTTTGGTAGAAGAAGTAAATGAAACGAAGCTATGAAGTAGGCTATGGATTAGATGCATATACATCCAGCTCATATTGAAGAAAAAATGATGCATGTTGTTCGGTGGCATCTGAAGGCACTGGAACAATCCTTGCCTATAAATACTTGCATCCTCCGTTAGTTTTATGCATCCCATCATCCAACTCAATCGAGTGTAATTTCATAGTGAGTAGAAAAAATACATAGAGAGAAAAATACAGAAAGATAAAATAGTATTCTTCTGTAAGGTTCTCTTAGTGAGTGGGTTTTTCCTATTTTTCAAAAGAGAGTGTTATTGTTCTCTCCTTATAAATTGGAGAAAAAAAATTGTAATATTTCTTTCTCTTAGTAAAAATATTTCTCTGATCTTACCCGTAGTTTTTCTCTTATCTGTTGAGGGTTTTTCACGTAAAATTATTGAGCTTCAATTCTTCTTTTCTATCTCTATTTTAGCTGTGTGATATTACTCAGTTACTCTGGTACCTAACAGTGGTATCAGAGCCGATGGTTCGGTAGGATATTCTTAGTATACTCTGTGGTTGTAGCTTAGTCTGATCTTCCATATCAGAAAAGATTAATTCCTTGTTGTTGGAGAATCATCCACTGGTTGTTGACGCTATGGAACTATTCATGGTTACTATTCACAGTGTGGTTGTATTCTTTTGCAGTGATTGTTAACGTATACTGGAATTATTCTGGTGCACGGTAAAAATATACAATACTGTTCACGTATACTGTACTATTTACGGTGAAATTGTGTAAACCGGTTTAGTTAAAAAAAATGGCGAAAAAATTTGAGATTGAGAAATTCAGTGGGAGTAACTTCTCCCTGTGAAAATTGAAGATAAAGGTAATTTTGAGAAAGGAAAATTTTTTAACAGCAATTGAAGGTAGACCCGTCGACATTACCGATGAAAAGTGGAAAGAAATGGATAACAACGCTGTTTCTACCTTGCACTTAGCAATGGCAGATTCAGTTTTGTCAAGCATTGCAGAAAAGGATACTGCAAAAGAGATCTGGGATACCCTCATCAAACTGTATGAGGTGAAATCACTTCACAATAGAATATTTTTGAAAAAGAGGTTGTATACTCTTCGAATGAGTGAGTCCACATCAGTAACGGACCACATCAACAATCTGAATATGTTGTTTGCTCAGCTTACAGCGTCAGATTTCACAATACCAGAAAATGAGCGTGCCAAACTTTTGCTTCAGAGCTTGCCAGATTCGTATGATCAACTCATCATCAATATAACAAATAATAATATTGTTGGTCGCTTGCACTTTAATGATGTTGCCGGAGCCATTCTTGAAGAAGAATCTAGAAGCAAAAATAAAGAAGATAGTAAAGAAAGTTTAAAGCAAGTGGAAGCATTGACGATGACGAGGGGAATATCAACGGAGCGTGGCCCCAGTGGGAGCCAGAACCATGGTAGATCAAAGTCTCGAAGACGGAAGAACTTTAAATGCTACAATTGTGGCATGAAGGGGCACCTAAAGAAAGATTGTTGGTACAACAAGAAAAATCCAGAGAAGTCTCCTGGAGCAAGTACATCTCAAGGGTGTGTTGCTAGTACCTTTGACAATGGAGAAATTATATACAGCGAAGCTGCAATTGGTTTCAAAGGCAAAAGACAGCTCACTGACGCATGGATAATGGATTCTAGAGCAACATGGCACATGACTTTACAACGAGATTGGTTTTGCACTTATGAACCTATCTCAGAAGGATCTGTGTTCATGGGAAATGATCATACTTTAGAAATTGCTGGAGTTGGAATTATCAAATTAAAAATGTATGATGGTACTATTCGCACAATTCAGGGAGTACGCCATGTGAAGGGATTGAAGAAAAATCTATTATCTATAGGGCAATTAGATAACCTCGGTTGTAAGACCCATATTGAAGGTGGGATCTTGAAAGTGGTGAAAGGTGCTCTAGTAGTGATGAAAGCAGAGAAGATTGCTGCTAATCTATACATGCTTCTAGGAGATACATTGCAGGCGACAGATGCATTA